AAAAATCATTTTTAAAATAATTTTTTGTTCTTTTTGTATGAAAAACTTTTGGAAGTTTCCTTTTTGTATGAAAAACTCCTGGAAATTTTGCTCGAAAGGAAAATTTTTGCACGCTTTTACAGCAAAATCCCATTATTGTTGTCCTTATTTTTGGTTTTCGAAAAAGAATTTTGGCGCATTTTTTTTCTTAAAAAGCGTTGATTTGTTAATTTCCAGGCCCATTATTGTTATCTATGCTTATCGTCTTCCATCGAATAAAACCTTTAATCATGCCAAATTTTTAAGGTAATTTTTGCTTCTATGCCTATCTTTACAGCTTACGTGAAGAGACTGGGATTATCAGTCCATTCATATCAGTGATAAATTTGTGCTGGAATATGCCAGGGAGTCAAACTCTCCATCAGCTTGTTTGTTAGCAAAGCCGGGGTGAGGGAGTCGTCGCTAGCCTTGCCAGCGAGGTTGCTACTATCGCTTGTTACTACTTGGACCAATTTAGAAGGTCTCCGCTTATCACACATTGCGATTGAGGAAAAAGTTTTGACTTGGACTTGCAGTTTTCATACAGTGCTTTTGCTGGAAACTTTCATTTCAAAATGTTTTTTAATTTTTGTTGTGAAATTTTTATGAAATTATTTTGATTTTTTGTGAAATTTTTAATTTTAAAATATTTGAATTTTCCAAAAAACGTCGCATTTTACCGCACATTTCTTGCTGAAATCATACAGCATGTAGATAAAGTTCAGTACTCACAAAGAATATTCCGAAGCGGCTAAAGTCTTACCAAAAATTTCTGCCAGTGGGGTTGCTAGAGCTGATAATCCCATCAAAAGGATAACACGAACCTCAGGATTGCCAGTAGGTTGACCACTAAACAATGCAGTACTGGTCAAAGTTTAATAGCCAGACGTTTGGATGAATTACAACTGTTCTGAGCTTCTTGATCATATTAGTATAAATTTGTATTTCTGTAGATTTTTGCAATTCACACTGGATAAGGTTGTCGAATTGGATTACACGATTGTTTATTTTCATTACGGGTTGCGAAGCAACAATAAGCCACCGTTGAAATGGCTTCTTCAAGCTTATACCATCTTGGATAGAAAGTAAGTACGATTTACCGTCATCTTTCAAAGACAAGCTGTCGTTGACTATAAGTATTTTTATGACAAATATTGGTATTTGCTGAATAAATTGGACAGTTACCTTTAGGTTTACCTAAGCATCAGCTTCATAAATACAAAAGCCCACTGCTGGAGACAAGCTTCAAGCAGACGGAAAACCCGTAATCGATAAAGGATTGTCCCATTTATGAAGCTGATGCTTAGGTAAAGCTGAAACCGAATTAGGTAAAGCAGCATAGCTGAGAGCTCTCAGTTTTACCTAAGCATGAGCTTCATAAATAGAGAAGTCCACTCACTACTCATTTTTTCTTTCATAAATTTAGGTTTTCTTTAATTCAATTTTCTATGTACTGCTCTTCCTCTTCCTCTTTATTGCTGCCTCCAGTTGTACAGGCATTAAACGACAGCAGTTAGCAAGCAGGCGATGCTTTTTTGCTTAGCTAAATATGGGAGTTGCGCAACCTTTTTAGCTTATCGGCCAAATAAATGGTATAAATCACAAAGTTTTGGGGGTTTCTTATCAGATAATATGAATACACCGTATTTTTGGAAGAAAACCTATTGAA